GTACAAATCCACTTAGTTCGGCTAATCCCTTAAATGATAAAGTAAATATCATTGAGATTGAGTCTATTCTTAAAGATTCAGAAATGACTCTAATAAATTATTTTTTAAATTCTTTCTTGAGAAATTTAATCTTATTCAGTGTAAACCGGAAAGATATAGGCACTCTCCTGATTTGTTAATTTTTGCATAGCTTTTGTTTTATATTTTCCCTCAGGCGTATAAGTTTATCCATGCTTCACAATATTTGATTCTGACAGGTCCAAGTACTATAAGGAAAATTGGTGCAATGCTAAGAAATTCTCCACAAGAGGAAGAACATAAAAATTTTCTTTCTTACGTTAAGCATGCTTTTCTGAAGTTGGAAAATTACGATTATGATGTCTTCCTGATGATAGATGAAATTCATATTAAACTTTTTCTTGATTTTAAAGGGGGGAATAGTGTGGGGACAGCTTATAATAGCACTGATTTAGCTACTAGTGTACACGTTCTTATGGTTGAAAATTTATTTTCTCCTTAAAAAGATGTTGTACACATTGTCCCAGTACATTCATTTGATGCATCCAAACTTTATAATTTATTAGATAAAGTTGTAATGGGTCACGATGATATAGGTTTCAAAGTGAATGGACTGGTTGCTGATAATAATTCCATCAATAGTAAAGCTGTTAGTTATTTCGCTGACCCTCCACAATTACTAGTAAGATATGTACATCCAAAAGATAGTTCCCGTCCCTTTTTTTTGTTATCGATTCCGTCCACATATTTAAATGTTTTCGAAATAATTGGAGCACAAAAATGGTTATTATTTTTATTTTCCATCATCTGACAAAACCATCCCTCCAAAAATGACAGCATCTCTAAGTTCTGTACGAAAACTTTATGATTTCGAGTGTACAAATATTTTAAAATTTGGTTATGAGTTAACACGTAAAGCCTTAAGGCCTTCAAATTTAGAACGGCAGAAGGTGAAGTTGACCCAGAAACTTTTCACCACCAGTGTTGTAGTTGCTTTAAAAGAACTTGGTGAGAAGTACAGTCAAACTTGAATAATTCGAACGTCTTTAATTCGAATTTGTGTATTATTCGAAGCTTTTCTCCTTCCCTAGACACATGTATATTCAGTTAATGCTAAAAAATCTCGGTTATTTCGAAGTCCAACTTCTTTAATTCGAAGTTTTTGCCCTTTCAAAAATGACAAAATCTAGTTAACCAGGACTGTAGTCGATATTACTTGAGTTTTCTATATTGTGATTTTAGTTTTGTAGTGATAGTTCAGTGCAAGCATGTCGTTTAGTAAGCCCCGTGTCCCGTATAAAGCCTTATCTTTCGATGAAAAAATTGCTGAATTCGAGAAGTAGAAAAGGGTGTAAAAAATGCATCATCGCAAAAGAGTTTGGAAGAGCGCCTAACACTCTTTCGACTTTTTTGAAAAATAAAGAAAGAATTTTGAAATCTAATGGAAATCGCAAGCGAGCTAGAGAGCCTGATTATCCTGACGTGGACGAGTGTGTTGCAAAGTGGTTTAAACAAGCACGGGACAAAAACATTTCTCTCAGTGGAACTCTTGTTCGTGCAAAAGCGGAAGAATTTGCTACCAGTTTAGGTAACAGCAGCTTCAAAGCAAGCTCCGGATGGTTAGACGGATTTAAGGAAAGAAATGTGTGGTGAAAGTTCAAGTGTGAACCAAGGAGCAGCAAATGAGTGGAAAGAAAAAGTTGTCGAAATTATTGAGTATACACAGGACAGAGACATTTTTAATGTCGATGAGACTGGACTTTTTTTCAAATGTACCCCTGCAAAGACTCTTGCTTTTAAAGGTGAAAATTGTAGTGGTGGAAAAAACAGTAAAGACCGAATAACCTTACTTGTAGGAGCAAACATGGACGGCACTGAGAAATTACCATTACTGATGATTGGAAAATCAAGAAATCCAAGGTATTTTAAAAATATCAAATCAAAGCCTATAGAATACGATTCTAACACAAAAGCATAGAAGACGGCGAATATTTTTGAAAAATGGTTACTAGATCTCAATCGCACATACCAAAGAAAAAAACAGAAAAATCATCCTGTTTATTGATAACTGCACTGCTCATAAATCGATACCCACATTGTCTCCAGGTTGACACGATGGGAAAATTTAAAATCCAATAAGAAACCTTCCTTGCTGCTCTCCACACAACAGAGGCTTTTATTGAAGTTGTTAGCTATTTTACAAAAGACTTCAATAAGTCTTATGCTCTTTTAGGAAAAATTCAGATAAACAAACTTGAATCCAGATTTGGTCAATACAGGAGTATGACTGGAGATCAATATCACATTTCTGTTAGGCAAATTTACGAGACAGTTACGCTTATGCCATGAATTAAAACTGGCTTCACATACAAAAGATGCTATTAATGTTGATATCTTTCATTGCGATGAAACCATTGAAGATAATGACATTAAAGCTATCGAAAACAGTTTGCCAATAATAACTTACCTCGCAGGATATTGCTCTCATGCTGCATAAAAAATTTAAAAAAATTAAAAGGGCAGAACTGCGCAGAATGCCGGCAATCGTTAATTGTTGATAAAGACTTGGTCTCTGAAAACTATTTTAATTTAATTGAGGAAATGTAAGAGAGAACTGGAAATATTTTTGAAACACTGTTTTTTAATTTTTTGTTTGAAATAAATGTTTGTTTTTTCTGTGTGTTTTTTAAAACGTTGTCAATCATATAGACATGATGCCTCCTTCAATCATAGTCAATCCGGTTAGGAATGACATTTCTGGCGCTTGTCTTAAGGATTGGTAACGAAAGGTATGAAAAGAATTTCCATTTTGAAGTTATTATTGTAATAGACATATTTCTAACTCATTAGATATTGATTAGTAAATTAATGAACTAGAACAGATGGTAAATATGAAAATTATTAAAAGAAATGAAAACAGCACAGCGTGCTTCATTCACGAAAGCTTATTCTAAGTTAGAGAATGCGAAAAAACATTCTTGTAACATGAAAGTTATCGCTGTGGCCATATAGACACGATCAATTGTCTTATGTGGAATGCGTTACTCAACAATTTTGAGTGAAGGGGATTCGAAGACATTTACTTCATTAAATGAATTAAAAATCTATGCTGATGATCACATCATTCAAAAAGAAGATGGTGATGATCACATCATTAAATCTCTTTAGGCATCCTTGCTTGTTTCATGCCATCTCTTAAATTTGGCAGCTGAAAAGGAAGCAAAGTGCTTGCCAATATATATTGAGGAATATATTGAGGACATATTTTTTTATTTAGAAAAGAGTGTAAAGCGCAAGGAGCGCCTTAAAAAAAATTCCAAGAATCACATAATACTGAAGTGCGAAAAATATTGAAACTTGTTGCTACTCGATGGTTGTCTGTTGGACGAAGAATTTTTCAACAATGGGAACCACTTACTTCTTTTTTTAAAGAAGAAGTGAAGAGCACTCCGAGTGTTGCCCTTTCTATTTATGTTATTCCAAAGAAGAGTGGTAACCTCTCTCACACAGAAACAAAAAAGATTATCAAAAAAAGAGAAAATGACAACAATGTTATGCCTCCATCCAAAAAACTAAAGGTAGAGGACTTATCAGCAAAACAACTTAGTGAAATTCTTTCCAGAGAAGAAAGAATCTTCATGTTTTTGTCATCAAACCTGAACAAAGCCTTTGTTCATTTTTGCTGTATATAGTTCCTTCATTTGAAAACCTAAATTTAGACTAACATGACAGCAACGGAAAAAGAAGCCCTGGTTGCTTTCAAAGATGTCGTCGGTAAATTTCTGGGTAATTACAAGGATCCTAATTATAAGGAAATTGCAATGGAAATGGTGGACAAATTTAAAACGTTGGGTTGCACCATGTGTGTTAAAATGCATTTCCTTCACTCACATGTGGACTTTCTCCCTGAAAATTTAGCAGCAGTCAGCGAAGAACAAGGGGAAAGGTTCTATCAAGATATCAGAGATATTGAGCAAAATATCAAGGAAGATGGGACAAGAACATGCTCGCTGACTACTGTTGGATGATAGCTCGGGATAGACCTGAGCCGAAGCATAAAAGAAGATCATTAAAAATAAGTTTCAGAGAAAAGCGAGAATGTACTTAAATAGAAATTTTTCTCTTTTGATTTTTGCTTGTTTTGTTTCAAACTTATCAGTTATCCGATTTCGTATTTCTGCCCACCTTTTTGTTATCATTACTTTTCTCATCTTGGCAACGATCCATCTGTTAAGCACGTATATCGCTAAATCAAACCATATGTTAGGGGGTGTACCTAATCTGCCCTGATGTCAAAGCGGATACTGCAAGTCCTGCTTGGACAGATTAAACAAGGGAGGGTTAGATCTGCGACGTATGAGGAGTGAATTAAATTATCTTCACTCAAGTGATAGTACTTCACTTGCTCGCATGCATTTCGTTGAATAGCGTGTCTTATTGTTCTGTTAAGTTTTAAAAATTATTAAGTTTATATAACTTTTTTTCTTCTTCTCAGTTTTCCATTTTCACTAAATCGCTAGTTTCCTTCGATTCTTCTCTTCTTTATGGATGGAAACGCAATACTAAAGCGAAGGCATGATGATATTCAAGTAAGTACTCATTTTTTATTAAAATTTTATAACTGTTATTTTATTATTTTGATTTTAAATAGTATAATATGTTAAATAGTATTATTTATAAAGCTTCTGAGCTTACGTTAATCGACATCTTTATTTAACCAAGAGAACTTAAATTATTTTGTTCAATTTAATCAACCATTTCTATTTTGTTAATGATAAAAAAATTAATTAGTTATCGTAGTCAAGAAATGTAAATAGTTAATTTTTACAGTCATTACAATATTTTTAATAAAGCTTGTTAAATTAACTTTTTATTTTAATTACTAGTTAAATAAACTTTAGTAACATAAGCGTTTTAATTTATATTAGTTACTATATTATGTTTCTCGATTACTCAAAAATTCTTCCTTTTTCATTTGTAGGAAGGAAACAGAAAAGGATTGTTTAAAGAGGGGTGCTATCCTGAACATTATTATCCTATTGGGGAAAACTTTTTTGTGCTGGCGAGTGAATACCAAAAAGAAAGCAATACACATCTGAAAGTTTAACCGCTATGGTGACAACTACTACCCTTCAACAGTTGGACTTACGATTACACCAGAGCAGTTCACTGTAGTATTTAAGAATGGTCCTCCTACTTCGATTTTTGATGTTGTGGAAATAAATCTTGCCTTGGAGGCTGTAAACATTCACAACAAGAGAGAGTTCTATCTCCTCATGGCAGATGATGGGAAAGTCATCCTCACGCACGAGCACACGTGCCGCAGTGGACGCGTCCACAAGTTCCCAGTTAACATCACCTACTCCCAGTGGAGGGCTATTAAAAAAGTTTACGACGACGTGAACTCCAGCTCCATCGCCCTGAAATACAAGTCCCGGGACTTTAAGGAGACGTTCAAGATGGTGACCAAGAGAAGTCTGCCTGCAGAAAAGTCCTTATACAGCCGGTAAGCAGAAGCGGAGCAGGACATAAACAACTGCCTGGCATTTGTTTTGTTCCGCCACATAGGAGAGAATCGTGGACGTAGAGATATCGGAGCTATCGTCCGCTCCAGACTTCAATGAGTCGTGCATGTTCCTCAATGTTCAAGGGATTGCTCGGAACTTCGAAAGAGAGCTGGTAACGAACGAACTGTACCCAGCGAGGGTTCCCTTAATAGACTATTTAAGCGAGCAGTACTTTACTTTGTATGTGATGGCCCACCTGGATGTGCTGGTGCTTCTCATATATCTGAATGGATGACGGAGAATTTTTAAAAAATTCGTTCAGCATTTCGTTAAACATACTTGATGTTCAAAAGATAGAAAAGTTTTACTTTTATTAGATAATCAAGAGTCTCATATTTCAATTGAAGTTCTTAATTATGCAAAGGAAAATGGTATTGTAATGTTATCCTTCCCATCTCATTGCAGCCTCTTGTAAGAACTGTATTTAGGGCTTTCAAAAGCTGTATAAATACAGCTAGTAGTGCATGGATGGTTAATCAGCCAGGGTTAACCATGACAATCTATGGTGTATATAGCTGTAAAAATTTAAACTTTTAATGGAAAGCTCCGAGTTCGAAGAAAAAGATAGTGGATGGACATTATCAGAAATTCTTTTCTTAGAGATTAGAATTAATAAGAATAATCCCTTGAATGGTTCGACTTTCATTCAACTGCCAGCATGCATAGAAAACAAAAAAGCAGTCATTAATGTTTAGAATAAATATGATAATAAGTGTTTCATGTGGGCTATTTTGTCAGCACTTCACCCGCAAAGTGATCACAGCTATAGAATTTCAAACTATGAGCCTTTTAAAGATGAACTAAACTTCGTGAGTCTCGAATTTCCAATGAAGCTAGAAAGTATTAAAAAGTTCGAAAAACAAAATACTATCTCCATCAACGTATACGGTCTTATAGAGAAAAATACTTTATTTCCTCTACATATAACTAAAATTGAAAGAGAAGTGTACGTTGACTTATTATATTTAACATCATTGACTACCGCTCATTATTGTTGGATAAAAAATTTATCCAAACTTTTAACATCACAGCATTCATCCCACAATGGAAAGAAGTATATATGTCGCAGATGCCTGCAGTTTTTCTCAACCGTGAAAATTATGAACAATCATAAACTGAATTGTGATATGCACGACGCAGTACGAGTTTTAATGCCAGCAGAAAACGAAAAATATTTGTGTTTCAAAAATGTTCGACACAGGCACAAAATACCTCTCGTGATCTACGCAGATTTTGAATGCTTGACAAGAACTATAGATTCATATGCTCCTAATTCAGATAGAGCGTTTACGGAATTCTATCAAAAACATGAAGCGGGAAGCTTTTGCTACTATATATCATACTTTGGAGAAGCATATAAATCACCTGTGGTATATCAAGGTGTGGTGTTGAATATAAGGAGAGGCCTGAATTGTTGGATAGCAATATTCCATCATACTCAGACAGAAATATCAGAGATAAATCTCTTAACGATATTGCAAAAATCTTCAACACAAATGTGGATAATGTAAAAAATTAACTATTTGAGAACACAGTTTCTGGAGGATCAAAAAAGAGTGATCGAGTAGAGGTCAAATGGAGCTGGCAAAATAAATATTACTTTCTTTTCTTTTTTAAAGAATTTATAAAAATTTAAATGAAACATTCATGAAGCTAGCGGATTAAACTAAATATTTATAACTATAAGCGTTTTATTTCAATCCACTTCAATTTAAATATAAGCTTTGAAACAAACGTTAATAAGTTGTTAATACAAATAATATGGGATTTAAATGATTTTTTTTTTATTTTTAGAGTTACTATCTGCATAAAAAATTCCAGAACTTAACCAAATAATTTTATATATTATTAATATAACATACATTATTACCTAACTCTCAGTTAGTATTAAAATATTTTATTTTTATTGTTTTAGCATTATAAATAAACTAAACTAAGTATGTAATTTCAAAGCAAACGATTCTTTTCCTTTGCTTTCTTTAAACAGAAATACATCAAATACTTTTAATATATTTCTGCCCGAGTTCCATACAATAAAATATACGATTTAAGCTTTTGTTTGATAAAACTAAAGAAATTTTGATGAATTATTTCCCAGGATAATAAGAAAGTGTACTGTTTTTCAGGTACAAGTTATTGTCAATATTCTAATTAAAAAAATTTTGTCATGATATTTCCAAGTACAATTTGCTGTTTCTGCATCTTTGTTGAACAAATTATTATATTACATATATTAAAGACAACAAAATAAAAAAAACTGACAAAAAATACCACTGGAGTACCTCGGGTTTGTGGAGCCCGTGTTTACCTGAAAAAGGTAAACCCCCTGAGGAGTGGATTAGCCTATGACTGTACTCAGACTAAAATACACTGCATGTTAAATGGTTCAAAAATAATTTGACTATTAAGCAGCGCTATTTAGAATGATGAAAAGTTCTAATTTTGCTAACAGCTATAAGCTGATGGTATGAACTTCTTTCATCAAGCATTAGGTTATGAGCAGCTTTGTGTTTTTATTAAACTGTTCAACATAGGGTATGTAAAAATTGTGTTGGAGAGCAAAAAAGTATTTTTTCTTCAAAAAATGAGTTTTCTTCAAGTCAGAGGTTCCTAAATTGCTCCTAATTAAAATATGGTGCATTGTAAATAATAAAAAAATTCGAAAAAAAAAAACTGGACCTGATAAAATAAAATTACTTTCTTACACAAGCACTTTAATTTCCCATTTATATTGATCTGAATGTCCCTAGAGGCTCAACCAAGAGAACTAATGGGACCAATGACCAAATACAATAGCATGCGCACATTAAAAAAATGCTACCTCTTTTTTTAAAAAAAGCAAACATTTCTCCTGCTATACATAAAATAATTTGTGCTCATTGCAGTTATACATGACAAAACTCTGCATTTTTTCCCACATATTACTTAGCACAAGCTCTGTAATTTTCTATAATTTCTTCTTTCAGGAAATAGAGGTGCATTTAATATTTTATCATGAATTGTATTCAATGTAGAATTCATTGGCACACACAAGAGCAAGATTTTGTCTTTAATATATTACATAAAGGCAACAAAACTGACAAAAAAATATCACTGGGGTACCTCGGGGTTGTGGAGCCCGTGTTTACCTGAAAAAGGTAAACCCCCTGAGGAGTGGATTAGCTTATAACTGTATTCAGACTGCAATACACTGCATGTTAAATGGTTCAAAAATAATTTGACTATTAAGCAGCGCTATTTAGAGTGATAATGAAAAGTTCTAATTTTGTTAACAGCTATAAGCTGATTGTATGAACTTCTTTCATCAAGCATTAGGTTATGAAAATTTTAGTGTTTTTATTAAACTGTTCAACATAGGGCATGTAAAAATTTTGTTCAAGAGCAATAAAAAAAATTTTTCCTTCAAAAAATTAGCTTTCTTCAAGTCAGAGGTTCCTAAATTGCTCCGCTTCCACTATCAGCTCTTATTATTCTTTCCATTAAATGTATTTACGACAACAGATCTATGAAAAAATCTTTGGAAAGGATGGTTATTCCTTCTTTCACTTGCAAAAATTAAAAGTTGAACCTAAAATAAAAAAGTTTATAACTATTAATGATGACATAATACTTACATGCACTTAAAACATATAAAACTAATATTATAGAAAAATAAGTAATGCACACAGGTAAAATTATATAAAATGCCTTTTAGCCCTTAAGAAAGCTTTTTTATCCTTTAGAATATTTCTGGGTAAAGAAGGTAGCTAGTTTTTCCTCCTCCCTTTTTTCACTTTTTGTTGTTTTCTTTTAAGTCGCCTACCGTCCAGCCACCATGACAGGACGGCTGAGGGACAGGGTTTCTTCAAATTGCGAGCTGTGTATCAATCCAATCTGATTGCAGCATTAACGGAAAAATCTGTTGACCACAGCCTAACACAAGAGATTTTGGACAAATTATAGTTAAAGACTACAGGTCTATAGCAAAATAAGGGAAGAGTGCCCTAGAGCAGATTTATGACACTGTGCTTGTACCATCTGTCAAACTTCGCGAAGATTTGACAGTCAAAGTTGGTAATGTTACAGTTACCATAAAAAAGAATAGGACTAAACAAGCTATAAAACTAAAATTTAGACAAATAAATGATAACCAAACTAATCAAAAGCCTCTTGGGGTAGCAGGTTGGCTACTCAACAATCATTACGAAATGTTCACCAAACCTAGTATGGACACTGAACTATTAAGCACTTCCTCAGTAGATAGTTGTTAATCCAAGGATTGAATCGGTAGTGTCACATGATCAGAGACAAAACCCATCGAAAAGTGTCAAAAACAAACATACAACAAATTTCTTTATTGTCATTGGTGATATTTTATTAGAAGGCAAGTAATATAGCTGTTTAAATAATGTATAAGATGCATTATATTTACTAATTCAGTTTATATCACAGATTTAAAAAAAATAACTATCAGTTTTAAATTTTTCATCAATCTAAATATTGATTCTAATTTTTTTTATGCTAACATAGAATTAGATTTTTAGTTTAAGTAAAACTCAAGTGGTTGCTAATAACTGTCTGTTCTTAACTTGTTGAATTCTTAGTGATTCACAATAGTTGTCTTAAATAATGCATATATTAACAAACATGAACATTACCTATGTATCATAATCTTAATATATACCTTGGTAAGTAAATTAGGATTGTTACAAAATCTATAAGTGTTTGCTTAATCCACTACTGTAATATTTTTTTTTTCAATCAATCAATTCAATTGTTTAGTTATTATCAATATTTAGCTCAGTTATTAGAATGTCCTAATACAACAGTGATCTTGCAAGACTTAGGAAACTATAGCTCCTTTGGACCCAGGAATTCAAAATCTCTGAATCCTTTATTGAAGCAGGTCCGAATATAAAATTATATATATCTCTTCTTTAAAGATATAGGTACAGGATATATTTGAGATTAGAAAATTAGGTCAATTTGAAATTGATTTGAAAATAATTCAACTAAAAAAACACTTAGCTAAGAGTAAGATTAAACAAATATTACTAAAAATTCAACAATATTTTGTTACTCATATGTAAAAGAATTTGAAAAATGAACAAATAATACTAGGTTGCTTTAGTATAACTTAATATGAAATTAATGTTCTCCCACAAATATAATCAAATAGTAAATTGTTTCCAATAAATTTTGGTTATCATTTATTTCTAATGAAAATACTATTAGTAAGTTGCAACAGATTTTGAGTGAAAATTACAAATTTAATTGTAGCAACTGTTTTATCTGTTAAATTCTGAGTTAACTCATTTTATGAAATCTGTAGGGAAGAAATAAGATTTACCTTCATTTTTTCATTTTATTTTCATTTAATTTACCTTTATTTTTTTCATTTAATTTTCAATGGCAGCACTCAGTGCTGAAATAATAAAAATTGTTTTACATTTTCCCCCATACTTCATTCTTAGCATTAGCATGTATAATTTTTATCTATATTTTCAAACTACAGAAAAACTATGCAGTCCATACAATTTATTACTAAAAAGAAATATATGCTAAATAGATTAAAATTTATTGATTGAAAAAAAATTTTTTTGAAAAAATTCTGTAATATTTTCAGATTAAAAAATAAATGAATAAAAATTAATGAATATTAACTCTGGACGGTGTTAAAATCTTGATACATTGTGATGTATCGTTACACTAATATTTTACTTTTGGAATTATGCATTTTCAAATTCTTGCACTTTTAGATTGATTAATTGAAGCAATTATACTCTCTTAATTAACTTAATACTATAATTAACTCAGGAACAGGAATTATTAATATATCATGAAATGCAGATTCAAGCTCAAAAATATATGTTTATAAGCATCGCCAGGTATATCTGAAACTTTAAGCCAGTAGCCAAAGGCAGGTAGACCCCAACTACTTAGTGTAGTCACTTTTTCCTAAAACCCAATGAGTCGGTGATAATATAAATAGGTCCTTTTCATTTTATAGCCACTTTTTGTAAACTTATTTTTCTGGTTGGATTAAAATATATATATATTTTTCAAAAATTATAATAGAAATAATCAAAACCTATAAAAAGTTCATTCAATAATAAAAATACTACATGACAAAATTTGGATTAACATACTAACTTCAAAGAATTTTATTTTAAAATATTTGGTGACAGTAAAATATATTTAACAGACACATAACAACTTTAAAATATGTCAATTGTTTAAAAACTCCCCTCTCAAGTGAATTCTTCCACCACAAATTAATGGATTCTAAACGATCAAAATTTTAAATGGAGACATCAGACATCCTATTGAAAATTATGTTATCATTTAACAATTATAAAAAAAAAAAATAATAATAAAAAAACTGATTGGAAAATGTGATAAATAATAATTTAAGTCACCACTCACAATCAGCTGAATTAAGCAGCTGAAAATTGTCTAACCGGAAGTCGTGAAGGTATGGAGCACAAGACTTTATTTTTGTGTACATTTGTATTTTATACTATTACTATAGTATCCATACATTAATTTAAATTTCAACTTAACATGCAATTAAAAATTTAATATTAAAATGTTATATCTGTGATGCATGCAGTTTTCTTGTTTGTAATAAGCACAAAAAATCTTATATTTTAGCATTAATTAATATCATTAGTTAATTTTATTCAATTAACAACATTTGTAATATCCTAATAAATATAATGATCATAAATTTTTTCAACAATTTGAATTTAGACAAATTTGAAGAACATGAAGAAAAAAAAAAAATTGGTAAAGGTTTGTTTTATTACTGATGATCAAATAATAAATAAACAATGGTTATTTCTTTAACACAATGAAGTTTTAGGTAAACAAAGTTTCACTGATAGATTATTGGCTGATCGAAAAGTACCTGATGCTTGAAATATTAGTGCATGTATTGCATGGAAAAAAAGATGTTCAAATGTACATCTTTCTAAGATTACAAAAATATTATACAAAAACTAAACTTTTTGCTTCCCTCTTTTTACATGACAAGAAAACTTCTTTTTCGTATAATGGTATAAACGTTGTGGGGAAAAAATACTAGCTGCCTTCACAATATTTCAAAATAAATTAATACGATATCAAGCTCTGTACAATGTAATGAAAACTACAATCATTCAGACTTTTACATCTGACTTTGCCAAATCCATTATTAAATGAGATTTCAATTGGATTTATTATCTCAATATTGTAAATTAATTCCTTCAGTTCATGACAACTGGGTACTTTTCATCCCCCTTTTTTTTTACTTTTAAGTCCTTTAAAAAAATATTTAAAAATAATTTCAGAACTGCCACCAGGGGTCTGTCTAGGTTTTTCTGAGAGGTACCTATTTTGTGAAAATTTAGACCTAATTTGTGAAAAATAAAAATTATATCAAAAAAAAATCAACACAAAAATATGGATTTATCCTTTCTTACGGGATACAAAAATAAAATTTCTTAAGACTGAGTATTTTGTGAAATTACCGTTTTTCCTAAAGTTGAATTTGTGAAGGTACCGCTAAAAGGTAATAAATTTGACCTGGACAGACCACTGGCCACAGAAAGATTCAATAAGTAGTATATAAGTTTTACACAGATTTTTTTTAATAAAAAATATGCAAGCATTTATTACTATTATTCAGATCAAAATAAATTCAGTAATAAATACTAGCCAGTAACATGATTTTAGTTAGACTAATAAAATCTCACAGAATATGCAAGTATTTATTATTTATTTAGAAAATGGAAAATAAACATATATCATAATAACTGATATGCATGATTTATTAATTAATAATTTATTTTAATCTACTTAACTAGGTATTCAACATTAATGTTGTTGGTGATATTGTATTGCATGCATATCATGTTATTCTAGCATTTGGTTAGGAAGGATGCTGCATAAAATAAATTAACCTGAATCTATGAAGCGTGACTGATAGTAATAAATACAAGCTTGTAAGCCTTTATATTATAAGCTTATAAACCTTTTGTAAAAATATTTCCCTGATAGAAAAATTTTTAAGTTTTATTAGTTTAAAAAAAAAACCCTGACCTTAATAACCTACTCAGATAAAAAGCATTGTTATAAATATTTTTTTTTTAAAAATTGCAAAAATAGTACAATTTTACAGCTCTACTATTCAAACAGATAAATACTGTACTACACAGCAGTTAATTAGCAAAAAATAATAACTAGATGTAAAATATAAAAAATATATCTAGAACTTGTTATCCATGTGTTATTCCTGAAAACGGTATAAAACAATCGAAAAAGTAACAAAAAGATAACTTTAGCTTAAATAAATATAATAACATAAACAATGTTCAAAAATTCGAGAAATAAAAATCATTCTTTTTATTATATTATTAGGTAAGCAAGAACTAGAAATAAGGATAATATCAAACATAAAGTTAGAATATTTTAATTATTATTTTTGCATTCTATGAATATTTCATGAATTAAATTAAAGAAAACCCGATCGGATCAGATAAAATTGTGACTACTTAGCATGCAATTGCTACAATCAGAATGCGAAAAGTAGCAATTAGGACTCACCATTCAAGTAAATAATGAAGATAAATTTGTTTTGTTCCATGCTTAGTTAATAAACTTGGACGATAACACATACTTCAAAGAAAACTTGTTAAGCTAAGCATGGGACGTAAGAAGACTTTTTATATTGCTTGAAGCTTTAAGAATATTAAACATAAATTTCATTAAAATCAAATTCCAAAGAATGCTTACCAAACAATTTGATGAGCAACAAAATCCATACCGCTAATGAGAAAGTTTCCGGCTTAGTAACTTTTCTATAAGATAAAGTCGGAAGTGATGACAATCGAGAACGCATTTAAAATCACGTGGTTGAACACATGCACCCTCTAACGGCAAATGAATGAGGCTGTGTAAAAAGTCAAAAACTTTTCGCAGTAGGTCAATCATAATGCATACTAGTGTTCACAGCGCCCTATTATAAATGGAATTTTAACAATTGCGGTATCTTAACTAAAATAATAATGTTTGTTCAAAAAATATAGAAGGTGTTATTTTTAAATTCAGTTAAAATTTTTTAAAAAATTTTTTTGCATTAAACTAAAACTTTTGTTCGATAATTTAATATAAGTTTCGTTATCTTAATAAAAATAAAAAATTTAAAAATTCTATTTTACCAGCAAACTAAAAATTAAAAAGTATTTACAAAAATTTCCACACAGGATTTTCATGCTGCTGTCGACCATTTGCATGTTAAATAGTTAATTACAGCTGTTTTTCAGAATTGTTGACCATGTTATGAACATAAGGTTTGCTACATATACGGAATGAAGAATGTGGAGCACAATTTAGAGGCAAAAATTTATGTAACTGAAGCTATTCTCAGATTCGGCTGAGCTTATAAGGAGGATGCTTGGAAAGTTCGTTAATTTTATTAAATTTAAAATATTTAGTTACAATTATCTAGAAATCTCGATAATAAAAAGAAGAAAATTTTTTGAAAAGACAATCGCTTGTTGGCCTAATGAATCAGTAATAGGTTACCTAAACATATTTCTGCGGTTACAGACATATTTCTGGGGGGGGGGCAGATTTAAAATCGAAAGCTATGTAATAATACATTTTATTTTTGCCGAAATTGTGGCTCTGACATATTATGAAACTCGTTCGTTTCAGCGTAAACTGACACCACAGATGCTTGACTTGGACTTTTTTAAATAAGAATGATACTTGACAAAAAATTATAACAATTGTAGTTTCCCTTCCTATTTCTCCTCCTTATCACTTTTTTTATTCTAGAAAACATAAGAAAAAGAATGAGACGAATAACAATACTTAATCACAAAGTTGTACACTGAAATTAGTGAGCTTAAGATTAACTGTTGCAAGTAAACCCATTGCTTAATACTTTTTAGCAAATTACATTTTGTTAGCCCATGATTTAAAACCTTGGGAAATTTTTATTTTTTTAAAAAAAGATATTTTAAAGGACGAATTAAAAGACCAACCTTTTTGAACAAGCAATACACTATAAAAGAATTCGAATCAAATTACGGTATAAGGTATCGGTACAACATTCGTATAATCCATTTTATGCGTAAAATCAGTCTTTTCCATAGAATATTATATCATAATTTTTACAGTAATATTGATTGAATTAGAGTGATTCAGTGATTTTACGATAATCATTACTGTAAAAATTACGGTATATCGGATTTTTTGTTCCGTAGCATGTTCCTGTAAAAATGAATTTTACGGTAAAAAACACCGACACTCAGGGTGCCGATATTTTTTAACGTAATTAGATCTGGAATCTTTTGACCATGTAGCTCACAATTAAGTTAATAACTTTAGCAGTTAGTTAGGAAGTTAGTGGCTTTTCAATTGAAGTTAGTCAGTTCCAAACGTTTTCCTCAATTTCGATAAAATTATTTGAATCCTTTGTTGTGTAAGATAAAAAGATTAATACAACGATAATTTTCATTTAGATTTTATTTAAACATGAAACAATAATTACACAATTTATGCAACAAGTAAAAAATGGTAAATAGAAATTAAACAATGGCATTAAAGAACAATTGTCCATGAACATTCTCACCAGGTCAACAAACTATTTATCATCAAAAAAATAACGAAAATTTAAAATTATAATATAAACTGTAAAAATTTGTACATTGTTAATACTTTTGTATTTAGACATGATTTACATATTTTGTAGACAGATAAAATAGATAAAATGGCTTCTCAAGGAATTCTCTGTAATCAACAATTCTCTATGATCATGCTTAAGATGTGCGTAAAATTTTAAACATCAAAGTGATAAAAAACAATCCAAAATTACAAATAGTGAAATATCATTTATATCTTTTAACAGTTTACTTTCTTGGCAATTTTTACTTTCAGTAATAACAAAGATATCTCATTGACTTATCTATTAAATTATAATTTTTTTTAATCACAAAATACACTTGAAAAATAATTTAAAAACTTTTCTGTTTTTGAAGAAACGTTCACCAGTCCTTAGAAAATTTCACAGTTGATGAAGCATTTTTATTCTATCTAGAATAACAATAAATAACAAATTTTAAAAAAATAAGATTAACAGTTTATTAGGGAGATTTGCCAAAACTTACTTTATAGAGAGAAAGCCATGGCACGGTTTTATTTAGTAGTCAGTCCTAACGAACTTCAACTGTGCATTGGTCCCGCAGTGGACTGATCGTTAAGGCACGGTTCCCAGCAGATCACCGAAGTCAAGCATCACTGGCTGCGGTCAGTGTGCGGGTGGGTGACCCACTTGGATCAGTCTGCGTAGGGACCGAGGGAGTGCGGTATTGGTCCTCGTTAAACTGTGCTACCGTAAAGTGCTCGACTTCGCGTGCAGGTCGTTGGGCTACCGAAGCGGGGGTGCCATCCCCTCTGCAGAGGATCAAAATTGTGATGGCATGTCTTCGGATCATCCTCAGGGATGTTTCCCAGACCGTCGCCAATAGCCCATTGTGCAGCTCTAGTGCGAGGTAAATGAATTACAACAACAACAACATCAACTGTGCATTGGGAAGAAAATGAGAAAAGTGTTACAACCCTCAGACTACTAACTTCGCAGGGGAAGAAAAATAAGATAGATGTCACAACGTTCGGACTACTAAAGGATCGGATTTCTCGTTTAAGGCAACCCGTGTGGAGGCCTTCTCTCTTCTAAGAGGTGTTGGCTTTGCCCCTTGCTTGCATCGTTCACGAATGCTACGAGCACTTGCTAATTCTTAATGAAGTACGGATTTTTCTTAACGATGATTCAATTGAAACCCCCCCCCCCCAAAAAAAAAGCAANCCCCCCAAAAAAAAATTATTACCACAAATATCCTTTAACATATTTACTTCGATTGATATACAATTTAAATCTAATCATTCCGTTCAGTTATTAATGCAACTTTATCTACGATTTTGTTTGTGAAATTTCTTTTTAACCCTTAGTTACTAAACTCATGAAATATTTTTCGCTCAAGAGATTATTTAGCAATAGTGTGAAAACTTGAATTCTAATAATGTTTAGAATGGAAAGTAAAGCTTGTAATAAAAATAAATATAACTTTTTTCTTCTGTTTCACAATGTTAAAAGTTTTATAAGTTTAGATACCGATTTAAATAAGTTAATCGTACAATGTTGCACAATAACGTAATGTCATAAGATTATATTACAAGAAAATAATATAATAAATAAGAAGAAGTCCTTAATAACAAAACAATCAGAGTCAAAAACTTAATACTTGCAGAGAAAGGATAAATAAAGGATTAAAGGTAAATTTTAAATTAGGGAAAAAGTAAAATTAAACAGGCAAGCAATATCTTTATAACTTTTACTAATTTAATGCTGATGACAAGCGTAGAAACTTTAATCTTGATGTGAGAAACCAAGATCATACCATGTAATTTTTTGGAAATAGAAATAGGTTATATGCCATTATGGTTCTTATGTAATAGAATGGTTATGTAATAAAATGGTATGTATAAGGAGAAAATTATTTAGATACCAGGTGCTTGAAACTTTCAATTAAAACTTTTCATACTATCTTGATAAAAAGAATTGAGTAAACTGTAAAACTGGCAAATATTTTAGCAATAATAGGTAGGTACTTTATTTACGTCGTAATAGAGCTGCACAATGGGCTATTGGCGATGATCTGAGGATGATCCGAAGACATGGCATCACATTGTGAGGCCACTTCCTCAATTTAAACATACATTTGAAGGGGAAGGAAATTTGAAAACTAAAACAAAAACTAATTTGAAAATTAAAACTAAATTAGATTAAAACTCTTATGATTAGATGAAATCATTGTTAAAGCAGGACCTCTTTGAGAGTGATGTATGTGCCGTTGTTTTCGAAAGTGGAATAAGTCAATTTCGAAAGTTGAATGTACCCAAGGTTTTTTCGAGTTAATATTTAAATAAATTTAAAAATTATGACAAAAAAAATTGGTGAAACTTTTTGCACCATAATTTAATGAAATATTAAAATGCAACAATGATTATTAAAATCGTAAAAAAAAATAAGTAAATGAATTTTTAGCTTTATATGAATTTATTCCACTTTCAAAAATAACAGTTCATATAATTATATCTTTCTAATAAGCAGTTATTAAAGCTTATCCTTTCAATCTAATCTTCGTTTATTTTGTTCTTCAGCGGTGTTTCGATCTCATTAAAACACTCCTTAAAAAGTTTTTTTCCGTATATTTGTAACTTATTTTCGGAGGGGGGAGGGATTTAGTTCGTACCCCATGGTCTACTCTTGTTTGTCTATGTCACTATAACTAAGTAGACATTTAAGCAAAAGAATTATTTAAGGAGAGAAAGTCTTTTTTAGTGCCTTACTTAGTGTGTCTCGATTCTAGGAGAAGAGAACAAATATTTATGTATAAAAAAACTAATAAAAAAGAGGAAGAAAATGAAAGAAGAAAAACGACGTGCAACCGATAATTCAGGTTTTTGCCGTGGTATATACGAATTATTTTAACTTTGCATGTACTAAGAATGAACAGTAATTGCGATGAAACAAAATATAAATGTAAAAGACGAGAGAAACGTATGTAAGAAATAAGAAAAATAATATTTAATTAAGCATTTTATTGAGCTGCAAAGTGACGTCTTGAATTTATGTGTGTATTATTAATTATACATATACTTAAAAGTTTTGCATATTAGTTATTTTCATCAAGATTTGTAAGTGACAAAATGTTTCCAATGTTTGTCACTAGGTATATTTTGGATATTTTTTAGAGGCATGGTTATAGAAATATATCATAACAAAGCTGTTAAAAGACTTAAATTGGGACAAAAAAATTAATATTTTTTTATTATTGATTTTTTTTAAGAGGTGATAAAATTTTTTAACTTGCTCTTGGTCTAACTATGGTTTCTCTACACAATGAAGAATTTGAGTAACTTCATGAATGCTTAAAAAATTTGCATAACGCATTGCAAAAACACGTTTTATAAGAAAATATAGCTTTATATATATTGACATTTTGAGCCATATTCATAATTAGAATAAGCATTCACTTCAGAAAATAAACAAATAAGAAATAACTGTCAACATGTTACGAGCGCGTCAAAAATAGGTTATAATTTTCAAGACTTGCCAGTCGTGTATGTAAAGAAACAAAAATGATTTGAAATAAAAACGTAATGTTGCCACCGAAAAAAAATGGAAAAATAAAGGTGGGAAACAAAACATGAAAAGCTGCAGAAGCCGTAAGAGACGAAAAATGATAAACAGAACAAGAAAAATCACAGTGATAGAGAGTCAAATCTGGGTAAAATGTATTTCCATGTGTTATGGAGAGTCAGAGGAACTAAAGTCGTAAAAAAAGAAATCTACATTCAAATGAATAAAACAAGATTATAAGACATCAAGATGAACTGATGTAACTAATGTGAAAATAATTTTAGAATTTTTGAAATTGAATTTATGCCTAAAATATTTGAATTTATGCTCAAGATAATGTGAAGCAATTGAACATTTCTCCAATTCTTGATAACGGACATATCTATTGTGTTCCTTAAATCTAAATTTTAAAGTGCATTTAGTTTGACCGATGTAGCCAAGTCGACCTTGAACGACTGTTATTTCTTATGTCGAACACTCCGACCGTTATTTATTATTTGTTTATTTCTGAAGTGAATGAAGTTTTCAATCTTACCACATCAGTTTCTAGAGATTATTTATTTAGCATAGCATTCATTATGAACATAGTTGTTAAGTTCTATTGTATATGACAACATGGGTTGAGAATAACAGTCTTAAAATCAATGATTAGTTGTCAGTTTTTGCATAGTTTTATGAGCTGAAACAACGTAATAGTGTATCTCTTTCACATAGCATCTCGCATATTCACGTAAGCATGCTCTGCACATGCCTTGCAAAACAATGGTTCCCAAATGGTGTTCAGCTGAACGGTTAGGTTCCGTGGAAAGGTCACAGTGGTTTAGAAAGTTAGAACAACGTTATTAGTTACGAACCCCTGTTATAAAATGTATGTCTAATTAATTTTTCATTTGTAATTTAATATTGATCTGATAATTATTCTTAACGTTTATTTCCGTCCTTTTCATTTTTATTTAAACGAAAACGGCTTTTTCGCTCATGCATTTTCAGTTTATGCATACAGTAAAATGATAGTATGACTTAGACTAGATCCCACTTTAGGCCTGTAAATTAAACTGTCTAACATCAAACCCAATTGTAACAGTAGTATTGTTAAAACTAAACGATAAACGTATTTAATTCTTCATTCTTTCCTCTAATATTTTCAAATTAATTAATGAAATTTTAATTTAGAAAATACTTTCAAAATAAATAATGGTTTTTAGTAGATTAATATTTTTCACATTTGCTAATGAAATTTATTCTAAGTATCGGAGTTTCGTTAAAGGAAGGTCGGTCATTTAAGGTTCCGCAGTTGAAGAAAAAAATTGGGAATTGTTACTGTAAAGAACTGAGATTGTTCTGTGATAACTGCACAAAGCAGAACATACGTTCGTGAACTGGGATGCTACGTGAAAGTGCTAAATCTCTCTAACGTTTAAAAATTAACTTACCTATCTACCGGTAGTAGTGCCACGTACTGTTTCCAACGAGGTGAGCTCTGAATTTGTTTCCTGAGCTGTGGTTCCTTTTCTGCTTTTTCTTTCTCGACAAAATCAATTAAATCTTTTAATTGGCATATCTTATATGTGCTCCACAGTTTCGTTAAGCCTGCTAAAGCTTCTCTGTCTTCTATCATTTCAACAACTGCATCTACTAAAGCGGTGGGTAAATCTTTTGGATCCAAACAGCCAGCTGCTATCTCTATGAATGGATTTCCATGAGATAAAATATCTCTAAGATAAGCGCCTGAAAATAAATTTGTTGCTTTCTCCCACAAATATCTCATCTGTTCATTGTTCAAAATGTTCATGCAGTCAAAAAGTAGAGTTTCAAGAGCAGCTCGCGTATCTCTTTCCCTTAAGTAGCGTTGGCAAATCAAGAGCTTGGCGTGTTTTTTCACGAAGCCACTTTTCCCTTTGCTCCACAGATAAGATATAAGTTTATCTTCGTCGATTAAAATTGTTTTCAATTTATCGATTCTGTTGATTAAAAAATGAATTTTTTGATTCATTACTCGTTGAATTTTTTTATTTAACCCTGGCTTGTACTTTAATTTCCAATGAATATATTTGTACTCCTTTTTCTTCAAAATTTCAGTTATATTGCACCCCTCTTCCATTATTTTCACATCTTTAATGTTTCTAAGACGTCTTTTAGCATTTTCAGGCTGACTCCTGTAGTTGTCCAAAATATAAATCCGCTCTCTATTTGTCATTATGATTAGAGATAGATTTTGTTTTAATGAACTTTCAGAGAGGCTTTCGATAGATTTCAAACATACTTCTTTGAGACGGTTTGAATTTTCTACATATTCAACAATCATTGAACGAATTGTTTCTTCTTCACTTAAAGAAAAAAAACTGATTTTATGCATTTTCTCGTACACTTCCTTGATTAATTTACATTCGCAAAAGCGTGGCTCAAAACTATTTCCAAATGTATTCAAAATATTTACATGGATTTTGTGAAGAATATTTAGAATTCGCCCTTCCAAAGATAAAACAGAATCAAAATTTACAATACCATTCAAAAAACTTTTGAAGTTTTCAAAATTGTTTTGCAAATCAGCGTTTTCTATATTACTCACAATATATTCTAATAAATAGCTGAAAGCTTTTAACTGACCTTTGATTTTATTTTGAAGACCTTTAATTTTATCTTTGTTATCTTTCTCTTTATTGTTCTTTGTTTTCTCTGGATTTATAATAGTTTTCTTTAAAATGTTCTTCCTTTTCTCTAAATCGTTTTTCGTTTCTGCTGATTTGTTCTTCCTTTTCTCTGAATCGTTTTTCGTTTCTGCTGATTTGTTCTTCCATTCCTCTGAGTCGCTCTTCGTTTCCTCTGATTTGTTCCTTGTTTTCCCCGAACTGTATTTTGTTTCGAATGAATTGAATTCGCTTCTAATATCTTGTAAAGTTTTTCTAATGTCAACCATCATGTTTTCTATTAAAACTTTGAAATCCTCTTTATGTCTTAGAAATAGGGAATTCTGCTTTTGAGTTTTTGTGGACATAATACCTTTTAAATCCTTGATGATATTTTCTTTTATAGTTATCGTGGATATCATCCCTTTTAAATCCTTAACATTCCCTTTTCTAGTTTTCATGGAAATAATGGCTCTTTCGTAGTCAACGATAGCTTTTCCTAATCCGTTTTCAATCATTACCCCTTGAGAGTTAAAAAAATGACTGACTTGGATCGGTTGGAAAAATGTAAGCATTTCTTCTATCTCAGTGCGAAATTTTTCAAAATTCATTATATCGTGTTCGAATTCCATTCGCCCCAAAATAATGTTAGAACGATATTTAGACAAGCAATGATTTCGTATATTGCACAGTTGAGCCTCCAGACCCTTCGAAAAACAGGACAATAAAAGATACCTTACTGGACACTCGGTTACAGTTTCATTTGATATAAGTTCACCCATAACTTGTAAGACACGTTCCACTATCAACATTTTCTTAACTGATGGGCTTTTAGTTGATAATCTTACTACTGACGTTAAATAATTTCGAATTCTATCCGTGATAAATTCGTTTGCCACTTTTGGAAGATCAGTTAGGCTTTCCCTAAGGATGTCCGAAGATTTGTTCAAATCAGTTTGTTGAAGATCGTTCAATTCCAAAATCAATTTGTTAGCACTTTGCAAGAAACTTTCTCGATAACAAAAAGGAACAAAGCGGTGAAAGTTCAATTTTTTCTCGCATCTTTCTTTTGTGAGTTTACAGTTTTTGCAATCGATGCCGTGTTTCAAAAAAGGGAAAAACTTGTTGCTTAAGACTAGTAATAACAGAGAGGAAGCAGCGTCCTTAAAAACATCAACATCCACACTAGTCTTCATAAACGAAAGCGATAAGAAGTTATCAAAAAATAAAAAGGCAAAGAAAACATCTAAAAAATTGTAGTAGTCATTAAAATGCAAATAATCTTCAAATTTTTGGTCTTGTTCTTTAGACAATCGCGCATTTGATTCAGAGTGATTGTAATAGAAGTTATTACAATATTTCTGAAGTATAGATATCATTATTTGTTGAGTTTTAACATTTCCTTCTAAATCATTTTCAGTTATTTTCATGATATCTTCGACAATCTGTATTTGAAATTTATTGAAGTAGAAAATTTGCTTGTAAAATGCTAAAGAGGTGAATTTTTTATTCCCATGCTTCAAAAAGGAATTAGACCTTAAGATATCATTTTTGAATGTCTTACTTATGTTCTTAAGAGCGTTCAAAATAGCCGGTTGAGGTTTTCTAACACTGCACTCTGATAAGTGCGAATTATTTGAAGCATGATTGTACAGTAAGATAAAGTAGTCATTATCAGGCAGTAAGCAACAGTAGTAAAAAGCAGATAAACCTTTTTCATCAGTTTTTAACGGATCCGTATTAAAGCCAGCTTCATTTAACTTCATTGCGATGTAAGGAAACTCAAAAATCGCAGGCATAATACGTACAAACGAACTTTGCAACAGAGAGATCAAAAAGTTTTCGCTGTAGGAAACTTCCTTTCGAATCATTTCAACAAGTTCATCTGTAATGTTATCAGTTTTAAAAATCAAATATTTATTACAGGACGCTTTTTTGCGAATAGTTTCCAGAAGATCATTTGAAATGTTAACTGTTTTAAAAATTGAATTCCAAGCTTCTCGTCTAAGCGAAAAAGCGTGCTCGATGCTTATCCCAAACCCGAAATTATTTTGGAAATAATAGCATTCATCAGGGGCTTTTGTTTTGAGAATGCTTAGAAATATATATAACTTCCTTGGGGCAGGCCAAGTTGAATTGTTATCAACAAAACGAAAATATTCAAAACTACTGGAGTTATTTTCGTTAGTTTTGAAAAGAAATATTGAACATTTTAGCATATTAGAAGCAGCTTTTAATATATTCGAATAGTTTGACTCACCGATATCATCTGGATTCTCTAAGAAGGGAGTGAGCTTTTTTCTAAATGTGTCCAAAATGAAAGGTAAAATATCAAGTTTGAAGACAGGCTGCTTGCAGTTTCTAAAGGGATTGTGACTTAAGATAGCTCTTTCGGTTTTTTTAACCTTCTTTTTGTTTTCTTCCTTTTTCCGCTCTTCGTCAAACAATAAATTAATCCGGTGTTTTGTTTGCTGACAAAGTTCGCTTCGGGAAGAAGAAATAAAATATGCTGTCATGATGGTATTCAGGAAGCCATCTTTTTCGGATGTAAAAATTTTCCACAGCTGATTGGGTAAGCCGTTTGCACATGGTTCGCCGTGTGTATAAGTTGACAAATACAGAATTTCTGGATAGGTATTCATTTTATCATGTTACCGACTGCTCTGTTATTAGATTGAACTAACGAAGAACGATAGAATCCTTATCTAGAAGTTGCAATCCATATTTTTAGATACGCTATGCTTATCGGAAATGTTATCAGTTCAAAGTGAAACCACGTTTTTTTAAAGGAAGAAACAAGAAGCTCGGATGAAGTGATCAATGCGTAAGAGTAAGCAACTGATTCAAATAAAATAAAATTAAAATTGATCTTTATACTTTATACACACAAATTATAAAAGCTATTTGAATAACAACTTGAAGTCATAGAAATTTAAATTTTTCCTAGGTATTATTTTATAGAAAAAATAAGAAAAATCTTAGCAAATGTTGAATAAAGATTGTATAGTTTAAAAAAATATCTTGGATTTTTTGAAATATAAAGGTAATTGTTAAAATAATCTTAAAACTCATTTTTAAGTTATTTTGTTTCGGAAACTTTGTCAATAGCTAGCGGAAATACTAAAACTATTAAAAAATACTACGATTTAAAAATTTTATCTTTATTTATGACTTTTTAATAAATATTATAAATAACATAATGTTGAAAAACAGACCATTGACCTAAAGAAGAATTTTTTTTTTTTTTTTTTTTTTTTTTTTTTTTTTTTTTTTTTTTTNTTTTGAAATACTGAAAAGAATTTCCTCGTCTACTTCCTCGTTGAACGATGCCAGCGAATCCCGAATTTATAATTAACTCTCTTTTCCATAGAACAATCTATTTTCACATTCACATTCAATTCGGTGACACTGCGAAAAGGCAGCTCTCACCAATCATGTCACTGTTAAACTTATTTTCTTTTTTTCTATTAAATGTTAAGTTTGATTATTAAATTATTGTCGTTATGTCCTCTTATGCTCCACAAACTCCTACATGTATATTTATACAAAAAATTTTGTTAACTGTTAGATTTGTAGATCTGATTTTAGCGCAGGTTTATTTTATTTTACTTTATATTATCGATAAGTTCGTTTTTTTTTGTTTTTTTATTCATCTTAAACTCATTTAGAACTATATCTTTTTTTAAATTATTTACAGGCATAGACGCATTATAAAAACTTATTTTTTTCTTAGGATAATTATGTTCCGCAGTGAACTGATCGTTAAGACACGGTTCCCAACAGATCACCGAAGTCAAGCATCACTCACTGGCTACGGTCAGTGTGTGGGTGGGTGACCACTTGGATCAGTCTGCGTAGGAACCGAGGGTGAGCGGTATTAGTCCTCGTTAAACTGTTCTACCGTAAAGTGCTCGACTTCACGTGCAGGTCGTCGGGCTACCGAAGCGGGGGTGCCATCCCCTCTGCAGAGAATCAAAATTGTGATGGCATGTCTTCGGATCATTCTCAGAGGTGTTTTCCAGACCGTCGCCAATAACCCATCGTGCAGCTCTAGTGCGACGTAAATTAACTACAGCAACTTAGGAAAATTATTCTTTATTTTGAAACTCTTTCACGGTCGTAAAGGAATGTGCCTGATGAAAATCTTGCTTCAATCAAGTTTTTTTAATTATTTTTCAATTATATATATACATATAGTATCCGTGAGACTGTTTGTTTTATAATTAAAATATAACAAAATATATTTTTGCTTGTAATTAGAGCATCAGAAAAATATTATATCTAAAAAGGACACCAGATATCTACTTAAAAGTGTTGACATAGAAGATGGCAGGTTAGCATTAACAGTTCATCAGTACTAGAACCTAGTTTATCGATTGATTCCTCGGCAAGGTCGTTAATTTATTGAAAATGCATACATACCGAAGAATTCATATTTAAAGCTTTTTTTTTAGCTATTTCTATGAAAGCTACCTATACGTAGAAGTTGAAAATGCTTGCATAAAAATGAATTTGATGCAATTTTATACCTCGCAACTGATGATAAATGAATACTTTGCAACTTAAATTAAATATTGGAGAACATATTCTGTATGGATCTTTGGAAAAATTATATTATATTATATATATATACAGTCGAACCTCGATTTCACGAATTTTTCGATACCTCGAAGAAAAAAAAATTCCCTTCAAATTTCCTATACACTCAATGTTAAAAGAAACTTGATTACTCGAATTTTTTTTTCTAATCCCTCGATAACTTGAATTTTTTCCCATAAATAGTGCAGATTTTTTTTTCTGAAAATAAAAATATATTCCAAAAAAAATTTTGAGATTAGAATATCAATTCTCATAATCATAACCAATTCTCAAACAAGCACTTTCTGCAGTGGACACTGTAAGGAGATTTACTGAGAGGCAGACGAATTTGTCAGAGGAGACATTTAAAGCTATAGTCCACTTAGAAAGTGTTTTTGACAAACTTTCTTACACATCTCTAAAGCAAACAACAATTGAATCTTTTCAAGTGTAAAAATTGTTTTTAGAATAAATATGGAATAGTAAATCAGGTATGTAAAGAGCATTTTTCTTTATTCCACCATCGATTAAATGCGATTTTCTATTACTCGAATTTTCGGTATCTCAAATTTTTATATCTAGTACTAAAGCAAACATGTAAAAAATAGTTTATAGAAAGTTCAGATATTTATATTCTATGAGTTTATTAAAGGAAAACCAAAATTAATGAGGGAAAAAAGCTTGAAACGTTTTAATTTTTCGAATAATTAAATTCGGAATTATTTTTAAAATGTTTAACGTAATCTAAGAGCATAAACATCTGTTTAGGTGAAATTGTAGTCAATGTTTATAGAGCACGTTTTTAATTTCAAAAAATTTTACAGGAACCTATAACTTAAAGTGGGTACTGCAGAATTTAAAGAGAAATAATTTAAAAAAATTTTTTTGAACTTAAAGATAAATAAAATATGAGAGTACAAATAATCTCTTATAAACAGACAAACGATTGTTTCTGTATTATAATAAAACACGTTTTTCGGTATCCAAACGCAGAATGAACCATATTGTGTCGAAACACAGAATGAAGCATTCTGTGTTTTTATTTTATGTGTGTTTGTGTGACATAATTTGTAATATTTTCATGATATAGCTTTACTCAAATATATAGCGCGAAGTGAACTTTTTCTTTACTAGTTTTTTCTTGTTCTAAAACGGTTTTAAACGAAGTTATGAATAGTCAAATTTAAATCTCAGGGTTTCTGCACGTATTTTGCTGAAAATTGATTTTCAATGCTAAAATATTAATGAGACTTAGCAAAAGGGAGTAAACGTCATGATAATATCATAAATTTACAGGTCATAGCTATTTGAGAGTTTTCAAGAAAATGTTCAGACACAGAATTTTTGAAATGTATCAAATTTAAAGTTCATTTATCAGAATCTAATTTATATATGGTATCTATTGAAACTGTGCATTCAATAATCTTAACATCTTGAAAAATATGAACATTTTGAGTTAAGATACTTTTGATCATGGCGACATTTTTACAAACTACATTTTCAGAAAAATCCACTGAAACTCACTGTCCATTATATGGGCAAAGAGCCTTTTAGCTTTAAAATTTTTAATCAGTCATAATTTCCTTAAAAGACATCACACACGATAAAAAATCCGAGATCAAATTACGGTAAAAAGCACAATTTTACGAATGTGCCACCCTGCGTGCCACATTTGTAAAATCCATTTTTACGGTAATTTTTACAGTAGTACATATTTATTTAATTAGTGTGATACAGTGATTTTACAATATTTATTACTGTAAAAAATTAAACCATATTTTTTTTGTTTGGTAATGATTTTACCGAAAAAACGGATTTTTTAATTTGTTTGCGTCTAAGGATGTAGATAAGGATGTATTGATGGAATAGACACACCATTGCGTTAAGATATGAAAAGTATGCTATGTGTTATCAAGGCGAAGAATCAGCCTCTTCGAAATTTTTCTAAAGATTCAAAATCACTAAAAATCTTCGATTTTAAAAACAATTTTTAGCGGTTTTTTCCACTGCAAGATTGGTAAATAATCTTATACTCAATAAATAACTTTTTAATAACAAGCAAAATGCGCCAAATAAAAGTGAATAATTTTTCTATAAAAAACAAAAAAAAATTATAATTTCAAAGTGCATTTAATATTCAGTAATCATTTCTTCCTCAAATTATTATTTATCTATTAAGCTCCTTCGACTTAATGAAGCAAAACATTAATTATAAAAGAATTCTGTCTTCGTATTATTTCGTAAACGTGATCTTGTCAACAGCTTGTGCAAAATTCAGGACATCCTATTTTAAACAAAATAAATTTTTAAAAAATGTTTTTAACATTTTTTAAGCTTACAAAGATATTTTGATCAAGCAAAATGTGCAATTTCCTAACAAAAAATTTTTTAATAGTAAATCATAAGTTTTAAATTTTGGCAGTGTTACAAACTAAAAATTTTATCCTTGACGACCTGATATTTTATAACAATATCAATATTATGTATAATATTGAAGTAACAGTATATATTCTAGTTCAGAGTTTCTCCAACCCATTTTACTCGAAGGACCGGTAAAATATTTCGTGGACCGGTAAGGTCCGTAATTTTGACTATTGGTATTATTTTATTAACACAAAATTGTGGCGAATAAACACCTTTTAAAATATTAAATAAATAATCCTAAGAAACTAAAGCTGTTAAATGTTACCTGATTAAAAACTTGATTCGATTCAAAAATATATGAACAGGAAATAACAGTCGACATGCTTCAAGTGCTCAAAAATAAACTCCCTTTTTCAAGACTTGCCAGGCGTGAATAAGAAGAAACAAAAGTTATTTGAAATATAAAACGTAAAATAAAGGTAAAAAACAAAACTAGAAATACCCCATTTGCTGAGAGGGGGAAAAAAAGAACAAGAATAACCACAGTGACCGACAAGGGTAAATCAGATTAAAATACGTTGCCACGTGGTATGGAGAAGTATGAAAAACTAACGTCGTTAACAAGGGAATCAGCATTCATATGAATAAACCAAAATTCAAGAGCTGATGTGACTGGGATGGAAATAATTTTGTTATTGTCGAAATCGAATTTATGTCCAAGATTCCAACAATGTGCAGCAATTTATGATTTCTCGAACTCTTGATAACGGACATATTTAACAAGTTCCTTAAGAGTCTACATTTTAAAGCGCGTCCAATTTGCACGATGTAGCTAAGGCCACACTGACAAGGATTGTAGCGATTATCAAAGCTAATAGGAACCTTAAAATATTTAAATTTGATTTTATTACAGGCCTGAAAATGACTTTAAAACCAAAACGGGAGAGGATATTAAAAATTTTATAACAAACAGCAGATAGAAAACGGTAATGTAACAAGTTCTTCGTAAGGATTAGAAGAAGAGGGGTGTTTAGGTCTAGTGAGTTTAGCAAGAGCTGAATCAACTATAGAAGGGTTAAATCCAGGGTTAGCAGCAAGCTAGCAGAGGAAGTTAAGTTCTGAGTATCAAGAAGAGTCAGAGGAAAGGTAAAGTGGGTGAAAACGAAAGTATGAAATGCAGATATTTTCTGAGGGTGATTCAGAATGACATAAGGGAGCAAAATGTTTACGATAAATAAAGGTGGAAAAATGATCAGGGTATTTAGTTACAAGAACATCGAAAAAAGAAAAAGTAAAATTAATTTACCTGCTTAAAATAAGCTGAATATTATGGTCGACCGAGTTGACAACAGAAAATAACTCTTGAAAATCAGTATCACTGTCTACTAAGACATGTATCGTCAATATATCTTTTCCACCATGAGAATTTGAACAGTTTAAAAACTTTATCTTCGAAATATTGCATGAGAGAAAGGGGGTTGCCCATGGCTAAGTCCTCAATTTGTTTATAGAAATCACCATAGAATTGAGAAGCAGTTTTCTGAATACAGAAATTGATAGTCTTATTTTTGAGAGCTTGAAACATGCAGACTGTTATTTACTATTTATATATTTTTGAAACGAATGAAGTTTTCAATCAGGTGAATTTTTAGGTGCAGTTCGTTTCTAGTCATGTACTCTCTACAATTGACCTAGCCAACCTATTTAAATGGAAATAAAGTTTATATTAATTCTAATACAAAATATTAACCTGTAAACCAGCGGTTGAGAAATACTGCTCTATCTTGTATAAAACATTCAAATTAAGTTTTTTTTTAAAACATGTTTGAATGAAATAAAAAATATTTATAAAAAAAGCTCCTTTTTTTACGTTTGAATATTTTGTCATTTGCTATAGGAAAATTTTATAAATATTTAAAAAAGCTGAAGACTTACAAAAACGGTCTACATATATCGTACTTTTTTAATAATTATATCAATCAAAATTTTAATAAAATGATTATTATTATTTTTTCAACATTACGTACTTCAGTTTCTACAACAGTGCCATGTTAAGTTTACAAAGTAATGTTTAAGACATGATCGTAAAAATTATTGAAATTAAATTAGTGAACTTATCTAAACTAGCATAAAAGGTAATTTTAATCTTAAATATTCAGTTTTCGTAATCATGTCTCAAATTTATACATTTTCCACAATAATTAATGGTACTGTATTCAATATCTCTTCAACTTGGTACATAATATGTGTATATATATGTTTAGCTGGAGCACACAAAATGAGGTTTCTATCTACAGGGGAAAATATGATTTTTAAGGTCGATACAGTTCTTTTAAATAGATCATTAGTTTTTCTTTCAAATTTTTTTATGGAATCAATGCAAATTGGAAGAGTAAATAGTAGTCAGTTGAAATGTTGCTGTGTCTAATCCCTAAGTGGTCTAACCCAACTAGACCGTTTCCCTTAACTCCCAAGAAGTCTAAAAACAGATGTGGAAAAAAACTTGTCTAACTTAAAATCAATACAGTCTAATTATATTTAGTCTAATTCTAATTAATTGTAGGATCCGTCTTCTCAAAGGAATTTTTAAACTTTCGGTTTTACTTCTTTAATTTTTAAATTGTCTCAAAAAGTTTTTATGATTGCAATTTTTTTTTATTTGATTCTATAAAGTTGAATTTTCCGGGAACACTATGATGTTTCAGAGTTAATTAATACGAAATAAAATAAATTTTCGACAATAAATGGAATTTACTTCGATTTAATAAAACTGTTAATTCTGCATCGCACTTTCTTTTCGGGGAAAATACCGCCGAATAATCTATTGTCTTAACTGCTACCAAATATGCGATAATTATCTGCTGAGCTGTCTGTTTAAGTGATAAAAAAATGATTTATCTTCTATAAATTTGTTTAAACAATTCAATTCTACTTCTAAGCTTCCCTTACTCATGGCAGATACCAATTGATTTCTCCGGTAAGTGCTTTTAAAATTTTACAAAGCTTACGTTAATTTTAAATAATAATAAAATCACAAGAAGAAACTGATAGGGGGAAATGGCATTCATTTTTGCCCATTCCCTACACTCAGATACTGTAAGAGTATTAATATTTTAAGTTAAAAAATTTTTTACGTGGAAATATCTTTTTCAATTATTTATCGTGAGTGACATGATATCTTTTTCTGATTTTTTTTTTATGCATTTTTTACATTTACGTGTGCTGTAATATAAATAATAATACTAGGCTGTAAAATTTAAACGTAACAAAGAGCAGTAGAAATGTTTTAAGATAAGTTCACGCTGAAATTACGAACCGATCTAATAGGTTGGCTGAAAGGAATTTTCCCGGTTGCCACATCAATAAAACGGGGAAATCCCACGGGCCAGTAATATAATACAATAGTAGAAATGCAATGGCATGGCACTATGGAGATGATCGTCAATTTCATTATAAATTATTAAATTTTGCGATTTCCACATACCGTTATTTTATTAAAAAATTAAAAATAAAACTAGAATAGAATCTAAATCTATATTTATCTATAAATATTATCGTCTTTAGACTGAATATGATATATATGCATTGAAATATTTAATGTATCAATAGTAATAAAGTGCAAAAAAATTTATTTTTATTACGAAGAATATAATTTTAGGGTTAATGTGAAAAGAGACAGTATTTTTGTTTAAATAAAGACTCAATGTCATGTAGTGGTGGCAGATCTCCTCCTAAGTGATCTTAATTTCGATTTGGTGTTTTTTTTTTGTCCAATTAGTCTTTTTAATGTTTAATTTCTTTGATTTTAATGAAAAAATTCATTCCTCTTACAAGCATCAGCCACGAATTTTGCACTACTAAATTATCTGATATAATGTTATGGCCTTTTTCATTTTCCTAATGATTTATTGTTTTAAACTGTGTGTGATAATTCAGCGAGATACTAAAATATCATTGGCGAGCCCCTAGTGACCAGTGGGACACATGTTTTCTACATCATACTGTTGTTTCTAATTATGTTGCGAACTAATAAAATAGATTAAAAGCAAATTTATTATGAAATGTAATGTCAAATTTATTTTAAATATCATTCGAAACTACAATTTTACACTGAGAGACAAAGTGTGGTCAAACTACCTGAATATGGTAAAATTCACCCTGTTTCTGGCTCTGTAGGAACATCAAAAGCTCGATAATTTTTACCGTAGCACTTTGGTAATGATTTTGGTAAATTTAAAAAAAAATATAATATAGTTTTATAGTATGTGATAAAATTTTGTAACTGTGGTACAATTTGGTAATTTTATCATAGCATATCATAAATACCATTTTAATTTACTTTTCAGATTTGTATTTTTTACTAAATGTGTGGTCATAAAAAAAATAGTTTTGAAAACCAGAATTTCTGGTAAACCATTACTATATGCATGGAAAAATTACCAAATGAATGGCTTAAATACCTTAATATTTGTTTCATTAAAAAGAACTTTTATTTTGCTTTTATTTTTTTATCTGAAATGTTATCATCATATACTACGAAAATTTTACAAGATTTCTCTTAAAATTCCAGTTATGATTTGGGTTAAATAATAATAAACAAAATTTTATTAAGATTTTTATTTTCCAATTATTAGTTTTTTTTCACATTTACATTCATATTCAGCCAGAAATACATTTCGCAATGCCAAAATGGAAGCACATATATCTTTAACATTGAATTTACAACCACTTGAAACCGTATTTAAAATTAAGCTAAGATGGTTTGTGTGCTAGCTCTGAAACTTTCTGTTATGCTTTAAATTTGTGTTAGTTATAAAAAATATGTTTTATTTTATCATGAACTTTCCAAATTATTAATAGTTGAATCAATTGGGTAATATGACTTCGTAATACGATATATTTTTGTATTTAAATTTGCCATAAATACTTTTTTTAAACATATAAGATAATTTGAACAATATACATTACGTAAACAATTAATTAAATAATGAAATGAAAATAATAAAAACAAATACAAGTTTATTAATATCCATAAAAGTATTGTATTAATAAATAACTCATATTAGTAATAAAAACAAATTAAATTATATACTACTAAAACATAAAATTAAAAAGACCCATTTTTAGTTGAAAAATTAAAAAGTTGTTAAAGCTATTATTCTGGAATTCTCAGTTCTGCTCGTAGTAATCGTATTTAACTGCATGAGGGTAATATTTTCTGCAAATTGTAATATTATATTAGCTGATAGTTCAATTCCTATATTAAAAGTATAGATAATATAAATTAACCTGAACAAAATAATTATGCCTGTTGATAATAGTAATAATTATAAAAATGAGATATTTCTTAGAAAATAATGATGCAATATTATTTTGTATTTAAATTTGTAATAATTTAGTTCAAACTACTCAAAAACTATAGATAGAATGAATAAAAATAAACCAAAAAGAATGAAAACCAGGAACATAAATATTAAAATGCGATAATAAAAACAAATTAGAATTAATTAAATTTATATCCATCATATTACTGATAAATTATTCATAATAATCATTCATTATATCACTGATAAAATATTCATAATTTTTTTTCTTCAGAAAATACTAAAACTAAAATCATTATTATTTAAAAACGAGAAATTTTCAAAATTTTTTTTTACTGAAATTCTGAGTTTCTCTCTTAGTCTATCTTTATTTAATAGCATTTGAGTAAAATTTTGTTGTAATTATGACTTTAATAAAATGGCTCTTTAAATATTATCAAAGAGGATTTTTTACTGATATTTAATAATTTTTTACTTAGGTTAAAAAGTTTTGACTGCTAATACCTGCAGAGAATCTTAAAATTTCTCGAATGGCAAAGTTTGACTTGTTGTTGAAGGACGTGAAATAAAACCTCATTATCTTAAAAAAGAAATTAAGAAATGGAAATTACTAATATTCTATATAATAGGTATTTTTTGTATTTTTGAGTCCAAAAGTAACTGGCAACTCGCAAAAGTATATTGCGAAATAATATTTGAAATCAAAAGTTACCTTTATTTTTTTATAAATAATAAGTTTATGTAATGAGAATAAATAAATTTTTGTAATAGTTTTTGATTTGTAAATAATAAATTTCCATTTTTCTATGTACATATAAATTTGAATTTCATCACTTTTTCATTTGAGTTTTTAGTGAAGAGATAATATCAACTAATACATAAAAAACTGATTTATTTAATTTTTAAAGACATGTGTCATGCATCATACTAAATAGTTTTTTTTAAATCACGTTTTTATAAAAGCATGAACTAGAAACTCAATTTTATAACTTTTAATCCTGCTATGGAAGTCTTGACTCTATACACTATGTGGACAAAAGTATCCACACGCCCATCTAAGGAATATAGTGTAGGGTTGTTTTTTATAGATTAGTTTGGCTCCTTTAGTTCCTGAGGTTGGAAACATGAATTCTGAGATGCTTAAGGACAATTCTGCTGTCTCAACTCAACCACAATATTTCAGGGAACTCTTATTTCTCTTGTAATTGGATAATTGCTCCATTCGTTCTTTGAGAATTGTGCTGTTGTAGTTTGAAGAAATAGTTATTCAAAAACTGGACAGCTTTCTTAGAGCCCCTGATGGAAATATCGTATAACAGGGCTGTCCAACTGGCGGCCCGCGGGCCGCATGTGGCCCGCCAACACATATTGTGCGGTCCGCCAACTTTTTATTCAGGCTGATCGGCCTCAGTTTTCCCATTAAAATGTAAGCAAATTGTTTTATAATCCTTCTGTTCCTTTGTTTTATAATTAATAATTCAACTATTAATTGTTACTAGGAGGCTCCGCCCCCTGCTCGCTAACGCTCTCCAACCTCCGAGAATTGCTACGCAATCCCATGTGGTTCACGCCGCGAACCATGGCTCGCTGCGCTCGCTCGCCAATGAACACAATGTTCTAGCACAAAGACATAATATATTATCATCAAAGACATAGTATTTTATCATCAAAGACATAGTATTGTACTTATGTAGAAGAATTCTACCAATGTTCTTATTGGCTTTTAAAAAAGTATATTAGCTATTTAGATTGTACATGGTGAAAAAATCAAAACATTAGCTAAATAAGAAACATATTAGCAAAATAAATTATCAAATATTGCTTCACTAATATTCTGCATTTTAAAGCGTGAAAATTCAATGCATAAATAAACGCGAAATATAAAAAAATTCAATGCATTCAATACAAACACTTAAACGTTTTTTAGACGTTTAGGTAGCTCCCAGTAGAAAAATATCAATTCAACAGCGGCCTTTTAAAGCATTCTCACTTCAATTAATTAATTAATTCCTAATTGAGTTTAAATTAAATATTGTCATGTTTTTAGTGCATGAATCTGAATTGAACAACCTGATAATGCTTACTCTGGTTATTGTTATCTGGTTGCTCACTACGTGCTCTTGCACGTCAATTAAAAATGAAAAGTGTTGCCAGCGCGAGAAAAAAAATATCATCGGTTTTATTGATACATACATACATACGTACGTATTAGCGTTTTATATAATATAGATTGTATAAGAGGTAAGAGGATATTGTTCAACTTTTATAAACTGCGGCCCGCCAGGTGATCAGTGACCAGAATTCTGGCCCGTGGGCTCCTTGCAGTTGGACAGCCCTGTCGTATAACACTTTTAAGTCGAATTAGAACGTAAATTATGTAACCAATGAAATCAACCATCCTCATCGCCAGCACTTACTTTAGCTGTTATGGAAGCCTGGAAGTCAATTTCTATAGCCTATCAGAAATATTCTATAGCCAACCTTCTATAGCCTATTCTACAGCCTGCTTAATTGTCGTCCTTTGGTGTAAGACAAAAGCTCATTTGGCCTTGTCACAATATCTTGGTAATCAAATACAATTTTAGTTAGGTTAGATAAGCTCACTCCCTTTGCCTTTGTCCAATCTCTCTGGGAGTCTTCAAAGGAATCATTGAAATCTTCAGGGATGGAATCAGTCTCTGATTCGCTGTCCATTTCAAATCAAAGGTAAGTTCAAATGAGCTTGGTTATTGAGGCTCATAAGACAGCCCGCAATTCTGTCTTCGGTCTACCGCCCCCTCTGTCTGCGTTGGCCACCTGATGTACTGGTGTTCACCCTCGTACACAGCGTTGAGGTGCAAAGCAAATTGATATTTGCTATTAATGATGGTAGTTGGTAGACCTTTTAAGAATTCGACGTGGGGAATAGACTCTAAACCCTTGTTCCACGGCGAGTATTCGTTCTCGAATTACTTCACAAAAGCAAGACAGTCTCTCCAGGCGTCTATGGACTGGCATCGATGCCAAAGTGTGATCAACATAATATTAATACTGCCTAATATACTCCCCGAGTTCGTAATACTGGGTATCTGGATGCTTCTGACCAGATAGTGTATTCCATGTTCTGATTAGTTCTGCCAATGTTCTGCAATGATATTCCTTAAATTTCTTGTAGGGTAAACATATAGTTCACAATTTTATATTGCTAATTAATTCACTAAATACTCATTGCATTTTTTATTTTCAGATTGGAATTTGAATAATGTTAAATAAAGTAGGATAGTTATTCGTGGTTTAATTCTTAGAGGGCTCAATTCAACAACAGTGAGCAGATAAGATGACGCTTAAACCACCAACGAAGAAAGATTTGACAGCATTTCCTGCTAATGATAACCATGAAGAGCCAGATGAAGTATGGAACATTAGCGCACCGAAAAAGAATAGCTTGTTTTGGTCAATACTGATTCCTTACTTAATAAAATCTGTTGAAAATGGAACATTTCGTCAAAACATCCAATTACTGATTGACGAAAAATTTAAAAATCTGAGTAAAGAGTTGAAATTTGATGTAATTGAAAAAAGAGTAAAGAATATCAATCCGTTTAAAAACATTCACACTCTTTATTCTGATAAAAATCTCATTACGTTAATGAGAATGTTGAAAAAGAAACTGAATCAAAAGGCAGGTAATTTGTTGAATAACAGTGAGGGTAATTATCGAAAACTCGAGGCTGCTGCTAATATGCTAATGTGTAACATCGATCTTTATGAGGAGGAACCAAACAGGAAAAGTTTAAAATCGTTTATTTCCCCTTCTTCAAGTCAAAAGGGTACACGTTTGAAAATAATCATTTTCAGTCAAGTTGAACCATCAAATGTAATTTATGGATTCGGATTAAGTAGAAGTTATTCTTCGAATTTACAAACAAATTCTTTAAAACACATTTTTAAAACAGCTGGTTTACAGCAGACTGTAATATCGGATATTATTAAGCTACTTCCTTGTGAACACTTATTGATTACGCTTATTGAAAGTTCATTTGGACATGTTATTCCTACACTCTTTAAGTCGCCATACATATTAAAGAAGCTTAGTGATGCTGGTTATGAGCTAAATCCTTTGACAACAGATGTAAATGGTGTTTCAGCATTTTATTACTGTATACTTTTAAATGATTGGAATCTCTTTCGCGTACTTTATAATCAGGCTTCCAGAAAGGATTATTTTCATCAAGAAAATGCTCCCGAAGACGATACTTTAAAAAAATTGACAGCCATACATGAAAGAATTCATGACGATTTCCGATCCAAAGGTTTTTCCAATACCTCTCAAAGAATGTATGATCTTCTAATGCGTTTTAATGATTATCATATTGAGATTGAAAGAGATGTCACTTCTATAGGGCATGATTCAAAAGCACAAGTAAGTGAGAAACTCACCAAAACTATGTTGTTTATCATAGATAAATACTCCGAATATTTCCACTACATGAATGCAAAAACTGGACTTGATAAGTATGAAGATTTCCTCCAAAATTATGAATATCACAGAATGGTGGATGATTTAACTTGCATGTGTTTCTTTGATCATTTCTTATCATTAAAGGTTGAAATAAATGAACAAAATAAAAATATCTTCATTGAAGTACTAGCTGCTTTGTTTCTGTATTTTTTGAGCAAGTTGAAATTTGATAGAGACATTTTCTTTTCAGATTTTGTAAATTACAAGACTGAGACGAAAGCTAAATATTTCGTTATTTTTTGCTATCGCATGAGGTGGCATAAAGCATTATCATCACTGTCTAAAGAACTAAGTAGAGGTCTACCAGAATTAAAAGATTCAAACATAATTAAAATTGTCGAAAACTGCTTGTCTGATTACCCTTTGATTAAAGAAGAATTTTCGCTGGCACGCCTCCAGATGTATTTAAAAATATCGGAAGAAGTTGATTTTTCAGGCAACGAAATAAAATCTGCATTAGCTGTTTTACGCACGCTGCAAGTCATCGGAGAAACATTTTGCAGCTCAAAGAAAGGTTGCAAAATAACCCCATTATTAGAATACAGCATACCTATCAATGTTGTGAAAGTACTATGTGATATTCGAAATAATTGTTTGTCCCATTTGCATGCAAGCTTTACTCAAGGCAGAAAAGAACTTGAACAACAAAGTTCGTTTCTGTTAGAAGTCCAAAAAGAATTAAAAGACGTTGCTAAAGCATTTGAGCCCATATTTGTGATGCAAATATTTCGTGCCAGGGATTTCATGATTACTTATGGAATTGAAGAATCAAAAAAGTACGACAATGATTTGTTTAAAAAGCTTAACGACATGAAAACTGAAATATTTGATTTGAAGCAAGAGCATTATGGGAACCATGAGGACAAATACATTGCAATATCAAGTACAATGATAGACTTGATACCAGAAAATAATCAAATTAAATATGATCGATTACAAGTTCATTGTGAGGGTCTGAAATATTTATTGTCATTTATGTTTAAACATTCGAATCATTGTGATATTGATGATTTTAGTCAAGAAGTTGAAAAAATTGACAATCTATATTTAGACGGCAAACACGAAATTTTATCTAAAGACTCGATAAAGGAAATCATTGATGTTTTCTCTGAACTTAAGCAGATGTTTATTTCAAAATTTGGAGGAGTACAGAGAAATTCGACTGAAACACCTTTCCTAAACTTGAATGCTATTTTCAAAACCGTAAAAGAGCACGAAATATTTTCTCCTTCAGATCAGGCGATAATAAGAAAAAGTTTTTCAGAGTTTTTAGACAAAGCTAAGCAACAAATTATTGATCATGTAAACGGCACACAATCAAGCACTGAATTTGATGAATATTTAAAATGTGTAATTAAAGACAAAAATGTAAGAAAACAGATTAAACAAAGCAGGAAAAATGCAGAAGAAGTCTTAAAAATTTTACATAATAATGCGTGTTCAGTTGAGACCATATTAGGTAAAGAAGAAGAAACTTGCTTTAGACTAATGACTGCTTTGAGTGATGATATATATAGAACTGTAATCCCGAATCTATGCCTTACCAAAAGCATTCATGATAAATTGAATAACTTAAAAACCCAGAAACTAGATTTTCTATTGGGGAGAATGAAATATTTGGAAGAAATATTAATTAACGATGATGATTATTTAAAGAAATCAAGAATTTATGGAACGAGTTTAGAGTACAGAGATCATACGAAGCGACTCCTAATGCTCCGCTACACTGAGGAAATGGACACTAAAGCTGCTTTAGAAATGCTTCTCTTGGACTGTCTTGAGATCTTGAAGAAAAGAGATGCGTTTAAGAATCTATGGCTTAAATCTACAGATCTATTCTTTGGTATAAATATTCGAGATACTTTGTCCCATGGTTGTCCTATTTTGGAAGTGTCTAACGATCTGCTTGATGCTAACAATTTACCAATGGAATTTATAAACATTGCTTTAGAACTTATCGAAGATCAAAAAGCTTTAAAAGCATTATATGAGATCTCGCGAAAAACAGGATTTCAAGGAAAAGAATTGCAGTTGTTTGTAGAGAACAATTTAGATGACAGATTTCCAGATCTTAAGAAAACATTACTACAAAGTGAAACATGGGAGCGTTATTTATTTCTATTTTCGAACTGAACTACCCTTGTAACTTCTAAATTTAAATTATGCAAAAATTACTTTTTTTTAAAGAATAATATTTTTAAATTGTATTTTGTATTTGGGGTAAAAATTAATTTTTTAAGGAAAAAATAGCCGAACAAGTGATTTTACAGTACTTTAACATTTTATTTTGTCTATTGCATAATAGATTTTTAGGCAGCGTGTGTAAAAAGTTCTAATATTAAGAATGTTCTTCGAAAGCTCTTTTACCATAAAGCTTTTTAGCAGAAAGTATGCTATTTTTGTACGTCTTGTGAGTTCGTAACAGTTATTTATAACTATTTTAAATTTTATATATTTACCTAGCTAATTTTATTCATCAGGGCAGTATATAATGTTTAAAATTGAAGCATTGTGCAAGAAAATCAGACCGAGACTTTTTTCTCATTAGAAGAAAAATAGTTTGAAAAACTCCCTTAAACCTTTGAAGCAGAAGTTTTATTAAGCATATTTTTCATACTTTTTTAAAATTATTTTGTATTAATTTAGGCAAAAGTAAATAAAAATATATTTAGCATTCTAATAATCTATGGGTTTCTATGCTATCTTATATAATAATCTATGCTATCTTCCAAACATGGCTCACCTTTAAATTTTTTCCTAACATAGCTCACTGTTTTTTTATAGTTAAAAATACAAAAGTATATTTTGGTTTGAAATGAGAGCGTCAGAAAAATTTATATATATATTACGCTTATT